GGAAAGAAGGGAATGGAAAAATGATGAGAAATGGAAAAAATGGAAACAAAGTCTTTGTAAATAGGGAATGGTGTGGGGGATGAAGGGAGGGCAGGTAATGGGGAAAAAATAAGAACCAAGATGCATTATGTAAAGGTACAATTCCCAATGAGAAATGTAAATGTATTGTATACCTAAAATGTATCAATAAAAGAATTACGGAAAAAAAAAGTGGACCCTTGTCTTTCACCATATACTAAATTAAAATCAAAATGGATCAAAGATCTAAACATTAAAACAGAAACATTAAACCTACTGGAAGATAAAATAGGTAAAATACTTAAAGACATAGGAGTAGGAAGGGATTTTCTAAAGAGAACCTCAATTCCACAAGAAATAACAAACAGCAAGAATCAAAAAATGGGATTATATCAGACTAAAAAGCTTCTAAACGGCAAATGAATCAATCAGTCGCGTGAAGAGACAAACTACAGAATGGGAAAAAGTTTTGCCAGGTACTCCTCAAGACAGAGGACTAATATTTAGAATATATAAAGAACTCAAAAAAATTAGACCCCTAAATTTAAAGTTGCCTTAGTTGCCCCAGCTGGTATAAAATTCATGAGATCAGGAGTTCCTCCCACCTCAGCCTTCACAGTAGCTAGAAATATAGTCTTTATTTCTTTTAGATGTATGTACCCATTTTTAGTTGCAAATAAATTATTTATTAGAGATTAGTCTGTAGAACAAGACTACATAGTACAGTTTGGAGAGATTATGTTGCCTATGGACAAATTTAATGCAATTACTAATAGTAGAGTCATTCTGAGAATGTGAAAATATTAAAAAGCTATAAGATTTATTAAATTAATTGAATAAAAATCCATGACACATAGCTAGAAGAAAGTACTGCAGGCTCATCGTTCCTTATATCCACTATTCTCAATTAGCTGGGGTGGGGGATTGGGAACTCTTGGAACGTTTAAAAGTTTCAGGTATTAAAGGTTCTCAAACCTCGGCATTACAATAACAACACCAGTAGGTAAAGTCCAATCCTACAAGAGAGGAGAGTGCTGGCTAGCATTAGCACTAGCCTATAAACTTAAACTCTAAGCATTAGTACATAATGACTTATTTTAGTAATCTCCCATTACCCTATACATATTATAATTTTGAGGGAACGTACTGAAAAGATAACAGTGGCCAGAAAGAGCAAAATTCATTTCATAAAATTCATCATAATGTTGTAACTACTCTAACAAAAGATGTTGTAATGGCATTTGCAAATAAGAGGTAAGGGGACGTTTATAGTCTGGAAAGGCTGAAAAAGTGATGGTTACAAAATTAGTGTTGAATAAATTCATCTGAGTGTAGGATTATATTTAGTCCAAATAAAATTCCAATCACTAAAGAGATTATTTTTCGAATGAGGAAAGATGATTCTCGATAGTTTCCTGAGATTGGCCATAGGGCCAATCTTATTCTCTGAATTCTCTACTCATCCACCCACCTTAGGATATATTTTAGTCCTTTATTCAACAAGAAGGCTGTGACCCATATACACAACAGTTTCTTGTTGTGTTGCCATGTATACTTTCCATAATTAATAAATGACATATTTATGTTTGTAAGTAGAGACTTGGGAAATTTAGTTAATGTCAGTCTTCCAGTACTTGATAAAAACGTTGCCAAACCAGAAGCATGCTAACTCCATGAAAAGGAAATTACACAAATACTATATGTGAATACTATATAAAACAACAAGCTGGTATCTTATCTCTCAATAATAGATTCATGAAAAAAAGGTAAGATAAAATTTAGCAAACTCAACCCTGAGTTGTAGGGGCAAATAACCAACAATATCACTTCAATCTGGAAGACACTTCTAAATTTGTTAAGGCTCTCTGGATTAATCTAATTTTATTGTTATAGTTCAGACTATGTATAATCCAGGGTAAAATCTAAGTACTGAAATAATCATAGTGATTAGAATAACAGCAACAACAACAGTCTCTATTCTAGAGATCAAATGCCTTCTTATATCTGATGTGGTAGGTATTATTATTTACATTTTATAGAAGAAACTGAGGCACAGAGAGATCATTTGCCTCAAATCATGGAGGTATAAACTGACTCAAGATTTCAACAGTGCTTAGACTGAAATTAAACTTCATAGTTTTAACCATTATGTTATACTTGCCATCCTAGACATTTATAGAACACTGGGGATAATGAAAGTAGAAATTATAATATTGGGTATCTACAGCAACGTGATCAAAATCTACTATATTAGCCATATCATTCCTACATTTAAGGTGCTAAGAACTAAGATTTAAACATAACTGCTTATTTGAGGTCATACATCCACAATGCAATCAATGATAAAGCACTTTAACATTATGATGAGTTATTGCTATGGGTATAACTTTATATTAGTGTAGCAAATAATGGAAGAACTTCAGCAAAAGCTATGAAAACACTAACAGATGCTTGTTAATGCTCATAATGTTCTTCAAACTCTGTCATAGGTACACCTGAGATTAGAAAAATTCAATAGAAATATGATAAATTTTGCTGAAAACGTACTTTGCAGTCTCCGTGTTGGGCTCTCTCCATGGAGTTGTCTTCGTGGCATATATGGGGACGGGTGGGGAAGCGGCAATGAAGAGACATCATGGGTCTGGAGTTTGTACCAATGTGGCTCATCATCTAGTAATGCTGTTTCTAGCTCAATTAAAATCTGTAGAGCCAAGAGACAAAGGGCTGCTATAGTATAACAATAATAAGTACACTCTCTTTTATAATAGTAATAATAATGCTGTTAGATAAAAAATAAGGTCATTTAGATGTCACAAAATTATCAGCATATTTTTACTAAAACATAGTTTTCTAACTTGTTAGAGATTTACTACTTTTAAACTTCTACCACATTCACTTGGAAGACCCTTTAGCACCCAATTACTAGATGCTTTCACATTTACTATGACAGAATTAACGTTTTACTTTTAAAATATCTGTAATAATAACTAACATCTATATATCATTTTCTAATTTTAAAAGTATTTTCACAGGGGTGGTGCAAGGGGAAAGGGAAAGGAAAAATTATGAGAAAAGAAAAAAAAATGGAAATGAAATCTATGTAAATAGGAAAGGGTGGAGGGGGTGAAGGACGCGCAGGTAATGGGGAAAAAATAAGACCTAAGATACATCATGTACAGGTACAAGCACCCAATGATAAAGGTAAACATATTGTATACCTAAAATGTACCAACAAAATAATTTTTTTTTAAATTTTTTAAAAAAGGATTTTCACTACCTTTAGCCTTTTCAGGAACTCTTACATGAAAGGAAATCATATTTGAAGTACCTATAAAGTATTGAGAATCATATCATCGTGCCCTTCTTATCTAAATTCCAAAAGAATCCACTAGTGTGGTCTTAAAAGTAAGGATAACAAGGATTAAAAAGGTTAAGAGAACTTGTCTAAGGTCACACCAACTTTAAGTGAAAAAGATGAAATGACTTAATCTGTCTTATTTAAAACTCTGTGTTCACTGTACTATGCTGCTAAGAGTTCAAACCCCAAACATCACGTTATCCTATAAAAACATACAATTATCATGTCAATTAAAAAAACATAAAAGGCAAAAAGCAATACCAAGCTTTTAATATGAACTATATTTTAATATGGATTTTATAATAATATTTTAAAGCTATAAAAGATATCACTGTAGAAGTAATCGACTATTTTCTTTTGGAGTGTTGTACAAGCTTGACAGCCTTTGTACTTGTGGTAATGAGACCTGCTGTGTAAAGATAAAACACGTTACTGTATTATTTAGCTATGAAGGTAAAGAGCCAAAATGGCTATTATTTCAGTTTCTACATTTTTCCTAGACATTTTCAAAATTGTAGGCTTTATGTTCCAAGTGGTATTTTTGTTCTAAGTGTTTACACACAGACATAAGCAAGTGCAGGCACACACACATACCATATTTATTTAATCTTCATAGTAACTCTGAGTTGTATACTAGGATTATTCCCACTAACATGAAGAGGGAAGTGAAGCACAAATAAGTTAAATAACTTGATCAAAGACAGAAAGCTCAAAGCAGTACTGCCAGGCATGTAGACCTAGGCAGCTGGAACCAGAGTTTCCTCTCCTAAGAACTGTCTTACTCTTCTTCCCAAATAGTTGATAGGTTTATGACTCTGGTCCCTTAGCTGACAACATTCAGTTCAATATTTCTTTTTTTTTCACTTGTAACAGCTTACTCTTGCTTGTGATGGCCTTCTGTACTCTGGAACTCCTGTGTTCCATAAAATTGGAGTTCGTATGGTCCTTGTCCTTTTTCATGCCGGTACCTGATGCCAGAAATGACTGGTTCTGAAGTATCTCAGAGGTGGCCTTCTTTTTAGAGAAAGCAATTGTTTCTTCTTCCAAAACTCTTCTCTTTTCTTCAAGTTTTATTCTCTTCTTGGTGAACTCGTTTCAAGTGCTCAAATTTGGCTTGCAGCTCTCTTTCAGCTTCTTTCAATATGGCTTCTCTCTCCTTTCCTCACTGTACAAACATCTACTTCATTTCCTCTTCCTTCCTCTGATGCTCACCATGGAATTCATGTCTTTTGGCTTCATAGGTCTCTTGAACACTGATGGGCTTGTTTTCAGGGCCCGCATCTGTAAAGTCCATCTCCTCCAGTTTGCAACGCCGGTACAGCTCATAGTCCCTGGGGTGCATCTGCTCCCGCAGGTCCTCCACGTTCATGCAGATGAGCATTTTCCACAGCTTCACAAAGTCACAGTGGTTTTCCTTCTCCACTTGTACAATATTCCAAGGGTACTAGTGAGCTCTGACCATCTTATTTCCAACTTTTACCTCATCCATACTTCCCACAACAGCAAGCGGCAAATGCTCATTCACTTGAGCACCGATTTTGGCAATGGTCTCATCATCTGTTGGGAACTGGTATATCTAGACACCATTACTGATCATTACTCACTCATGAGCTTCACCTTAAACTTCCGAAATTCAGTTTTAGAAAGTGTATCTGCTTTGGCAATCACTGGTATAGTGTTCACCTTGCTGTCCAGGTTCTTCATAGTTAAGAGGTCAAGTGTCTTCCGAGAGTGGCCTGTGGGGGTGATGAAGTAGAGGCACACCTGTATGCGAGAATCGTGGTAGTTGAAGAGAGAGTGCTTGATCTTCAATTCTTCTTAGAGATAAGCCTCAAACTGAGCATTTATGTAGTCAACGATGGGTTGGTAGCTTTCTTCTTTATTTGGTCACCAAATCCCACTGTATTCACAATGGTTAATTTTAACTGAACATTATTTTCCTGGGGTTTATATGTCTGAGCTTTAAGTTTAACATCTGGGCAAAAATGTGAGCATTCATATTCTCCAAAATTAGCATTAAACAATGTATTAATCAGTGTTGATTTTCCAATTCCAGTTTCTCCCACACAGAGAATGTTGAAGCAGAAGCCTTGCTGAATGGATCTACTGACAAGGTGATCAGGCAAACTCTCAAAACCAACACGGCCACACACAGTCAAGGAACGAATAGTTTCTCTTTTTCTCTGTTCACCACTGGATACCTGTGAGGCCACAGATGCAACCTCTGATGCCACGTCAGACTGAAACAGCCAGCGCCCGCGTCGTCCGTGCCGGCCACGGCCAGCTTCTAGCAGAGGCCTGACCCGGGCCTGCCTGCGCCTCTCCCGGATGTCGGCGGCCGGTAGCGGGCGGGGCCGCCTCGCCAGTTCAGTACTTCTGTACACGTGGTTGCTCTCCCCCGAGACTACCATTAACTTACTTACAGAATCCCAGGCTGAAAGTGGACAACTTAGGACACTGGAGAACTGCTTCACCTCTAACCCTTTCTAATTCGTGTACTACATTACCATCAGAAATATTTTTCTCAAGTATAAATGCAGTTGAGCAGTCTCTCTTTAACATTTGTCCCTGGTTCACAGTATCCACAGGATAAATCCATATTTCCGGATATTAAGGGGATATGATTTGATAGCAGTTTAACTCTCAAGTGTCGTTCTCACCACTTTCCCTTTCAACATCACTGCAGCTGCCCAGATTTGATGTCTGGTTATTCTCTCTACAGGAATTTTACTTTTCTTGACTTTGCTAAATTCCTCGTTTGGGGGATTTCCTTCAGCCACCTCCCTTACCTCTCCATTATGTATGACTGCAATCTTCCCACTATAGTGGTTGGTGTGCTGCATTTCAATTGCCATTCAGTTGTCTGTATCCTCAGAGGGCTGAAATTCCCTGAAGTCAGTAATGTGCCGTATTCACCTTTGAAGCCTCCTGCCACAATGCTTGATACATTACAGAGCTAAAAAATAACCCATGAATAAATGACTGACCTACTCACTAGTGGTACAACTGGTTTAATAAACAAGTTATACACAACACAATAAAATCGAGCAATGCACTTGTGAAACAGAAACAACCTTCTCTAATTCAACACTGAGATTTCTATAGTAAGAATACGCATGAAGAACGGTCACAGAGTGTGTGTATGTTGGGTGTGCTTTCGAGCTGGGGTCCCGTGGTGTTGCTGAGACCGGCCTTGAGCTCCGGGCTCCAGTGAGGCTCCTGGTTCACCCCTAAACCTAGGACTCCAGGCTTGCACCGCCACCATGCCTGCCTTTGTTACAGTGCAGTTAGAACCTTTGCCTTCTATGGTTTTAATAAATTTTATCTTAAAGCACTAGCTCAATTCATTGTGTTAAATTAAGAAATGATAACAGATATTTGAGATATAAAATTTTACTGACAGTCATTTAAACAAAAGTATGACATGAACACTTCATAAAATAATTCTTGGTACCTCTCCTAAAAATTCACTTTCTTCCTCTCGAACTCTAGCTTGATCCCAAAGAGTAATTTCCAGCATTCGTTCTCGAAATTCTCTTCGGTGGACTGGAGAATAAATGAATGTTTGGTTCCATTTAGGTTCCAATGTTTTCTTTACTGTTTTTGTTCTCCTCTTGTTTTTATCACTGAGGAAAAGAAAGAACATAGGAAATTATATTAAATTTTGAATTTTGTCTTAAAATATATTAATTTAAAATTTGTCAGAAGTCAGGTAAAACTTTATCACGTATTTATCATACATTGCAAATATTGTATTTTAAGTTGTTATTGGAAATAACAACTTAAAATTTACAAGATGTATAATTGTATCATGCTTTATAAGTATGATCCAAGGCAAGCAGTAGTACAATAAATCTTAAACTTCTCCAGTGACAGATAATTGAAAACTTAATCTTTCTCAAAATCTAAAAAGACAAGATGGATCTTAACTATAAAATTTTTTTACATATTACCCTTATGGAAACCTTCAAAATAATAATTAATCTGTAATATTCACATTATTTATTTAAACTACTAAAGATTTACTGCAAAAAAAGATGAGTAAATTATAATGATAGTAATTTCCTATCTTTATACTTTAGGTAATAAGCAATTGTAACACATCTTATACACCTTTTTGCCCATGAGAAAGACTGTTTGCTTCTTTGACATATATCAAGTCTCTAAAATTACTGAACATTATTTCTTTTAAGGGTGCCCCTCTAAGGTGAGCTGGAAATGCAGTGAAAGTATGGAGATGGATGGAACTTCCAGGTCAGAGTCTTTCACACTTATTTTGACTGCATGTCTCTACCAAGGAACCAAACCTCCAAAACTGTGAGACAAAAATGAACCCTTTCCTATCAAGGTGTTTATCTCTGGCATTCTGTCACAGCCACAGAGAGCTACCATGGCTGGGAAACAGAAGGAGGGGAATAAAGAAGGGCTAAGTTGTCTTTGAAATAAAGACACATCTTTCAAAACTTTCAGTGCCGAAGATAGATTTGACTTGAGTAATCAAGAGATACTGGACGTTTCCTGAGCACTTTATTTAATGTGGCAGAAAGCTTCTTTAAATATACTGATAATGAATTTTGTTAAGACAACTGGAAAAAAAGATGACATATCATGTACCACTTCTAATTTTGAGGCCAGTTGTAGGAAAATGACATTGCAAACCCATATAGATTTTTTTTCTCTGTGTACATGGAAAAGAAGTGATACTATGTATAATAACTAATTAAATAATAGGAGCAAAGCAAAGGTTGAGCATTGTTAATCCAAACACGTGAAATCCAAAATGGTCCAAAATTTGCAACTTTCTGAGTTCTTAAATTATGCCACTGTGGACAATTCCATACCAAATTATTAAAAATATTGTACAGAATTATCTTCAGGAGATAAAAGTGTGTGTTCCGTAAGAAACATACATAAACTTTGTGTTTACATTTGTGTCCACTCTCAAAATAAGTACAGTACATGTAACTATTCCGAAGTTTGAAAGAAAATCTGAAATTTGAAACACCCCGTCCCCAGCATTTTGGATAAAGGGTACTCAGCTTGTCATACCAAGGACAATGACTTAGGATCGCGTTCTCTCCCTGTTTTTTCTAAAACTGTAACTATTTATTCAGCATTTACTTATGTCTCATCCTTGAAAGAACGAGTTCTGAGATCCCGTTAAGGGACACAGTTCCTTCCCAAAAGGCCAAGACATGTAACAGACATCTACTAATTTAAGAATGATTTATAACAAAATCTGAAGGGAAACAGAATAAGCCATCAACTTTCTTTAAGAACTAAAAAAATGTTCTCAGATAAAGAATGACTTATTTTAAGAGGGATTTCAATATTGCACAGAAAGTGGACTAGATAACTTCTGCAGCTCCTCAAAACTCAAAGCACGTAATTACATCTCAGCGGGCCTACTCATCATGAACTTAATACAGTAAGGGCTTGAAGAGGGGAATTTGAAGCCCAACGCTACAGTTTCCTAGGGGTAATGAAACACAAAATACAGTTTTTAATTTTGTAGAATAGAGTAAAACAGTATTTTGATAAGAGAAGGTAAAAACTGAAGAGCAATATAAACACTTTTTAGCACCCTTACCAATTTTTTGATTCTATATTTTGTATTAAAAATTTTATATAAAGGGGAATAAATGTTAATGATTTTATAGATAAAAACATATTTAAGAAGGCATACACACATGCTTAAAATATTAAAAACAATATACAACACTTAATATAAGTTTGAAAACAATCCCATATTTTGATTGTCATTATTTTGATTCCTCAAAATGAGATTAAGTTTATGTTAAACTTCACAAGTACCTGACTAGTGTGATACAGACAATGAATTACAAGAATTGAAACACCTATTGCTATTAACATTTTCCCACTTATTCTAAAGGACATTTATTTCTGGTTTGCATCCATACCTTCTATCTGGAAGAAAGTAAATTTTAACATAAGGATTCCTTGGCCTCCCATCTTCCCTGGAAGGAAGGTCCTTTGCTCCCAAAATTGTAACTATTAATTGGTGACCAACCTTGTCAAACCATAGTTTTATCTGAAAAGCAAAAATAATCACTTATCAGCATAAACATTTACTACCAATACATGTAAAAATATACTAATAATTTCTATGAATAAAAGAACTAACTCAGATATTTTGGTTTCATTGATAAATCACCTAGGCTTTTTATTATTCTAATGTGATTATGCACATAACATGCACATAATAATAACACTATCATCATTAAGGTCTTTAAGCACAATTATTGCTCTATATCTTCCCTTAGCCCTGAATCACTTCAATTCATTTTGTTTCCCCTCATGAGTTCAGAGTTGGGTAGGTAGTAACTTATTTACATGTTATTGATAGGGAATTTTCAATAAATGTTTTATGATATATCAAAAGACCTTTCAAAGATCACAAGATGATTTACTAGTAGTATTAGTCAATAGATTTCTTCAGTTCACATTCAGAATTTTAATCAATTCATCTTTTTAATTTTTTCCGACTCAGACATAGTCTCTTGGGAAGCCAATGTATCACATCCTTCCCATAGTAAGACTTCGTTTTCTAGTCTGAGATGAGAAGATGTGAGTAACTTACTGTGCCCTAATTAAGGACTGGAACCTCGCGTCCAGCTGCTGAACTCATCTGACTTGACAGCCACCCTGCCCCGTGCTCACTTCCCACCTCCCCACCCCGCTACTGCTGGCACTGCATAGAGATCGGGGATAGTCATGGCTCTGATGTGTATCCTGGTTCAGAACTCAGCACACATCTGATCACTACCTTGGAACTTAAATGAAACCAGAAATTTGCAACTTGAGAATTACAGGTAAAAAACAACTTTCTGGTTGTATCTGAAACATTGTTCCAATTCCAATTCCAATTCCACCATTGCTTTGCTGAGAGCCTCACTCACATACTAGATAATGAGAATCTGAGCAACTCTAGATACAGAGTGGGCTCACAATTCAAAAGCAAAGATCATTTATTTGCTTTTTTACTAAAAGAAATTAGCCTTCTTATTAGAACAAGAATAAGAAATATTTTAATTATAAAGATTATAATTACTAGTCTTTGTGCTGTGTGTTCTTTATGTTTAGTGTAGTTATTATGTTGCTATTATATAACAAAAAGCTTTTCTCGTAGAGCTGCTATGTTCAAAAACAGATCCTAAAAAGTTTCTCAAACTGAGATAAACATATCTCCTGCAGCAGTATTAGCTGCAGAATTCTTTCACCTACTCAATCAGAATGGCACTGGAATTTATGTATTTATTTATTTAGTAGTGGGGATTAAATCCAGGGCCTTCACTCTGAGCTGCATCCTCAGTCCTATTTTTATTCTTTTATTTTTCAGACAGGGTGTCACAAAGTTGCCCAGGCTGAGCTCGAATTTGCTTCTGCTTCAGCCTCCCAGAATGTTGAGATTACAGGTGTATGCTACCATGCTTGGGTTGAAATATGAATGGTAAAAAGTCCTCTAGGATATTCTCATGTCTATTAAAATTGGATAAACACTGCTTTAGATCAAGGGATCAAGGAATCAACAACCTGAAGAAAAAAGGATCCAATATTTGAGAGCAAAATGCCCCAATACTTGCTTGCCTAACAGTATTAGAATAAAGACACAGACGAGGATAAGGGAGTGAAAGGGGATGGATAAAATAGGCTTCTGGCAAAAGCCACATGAAGAAAACAAAGAAAGAATGTGAGGTGTCTCATTGTACATGAAATGAAAGACACTGCAAATTGTGTCACCATGCCTCTAAATGTGTGAGATCAGATTTATATATGATATTCTTTATTTTCACCAATAATAAAAAGCTTATAGCTTTATTTTTTCCAGAAATAAAGAATCTTTCTCAATAAATACTAGTCACCTCATAAAAAAAGATTCTGAAAGGTTAAAAATGTTTTTCCAAAATCTTTACCATTTAAAAACAAAGAAGTCATTATTATTGTTATTCTTGTTATGAGACTAAGATTAGTATTATTTGAGCTTATTGATTTCCATGAGAACTTTTTGAGAAGTTGAAACTTAGCACTTGACATCTTCAGAGGCATGTTTTTGCTGAGTTAAAATCACTAGTTGTTCATTTGAGATATATATTTAAAAAGTCAGAAAAAGAATATTCTTTCCTTATGCCATAGAAAACCAAAAGATATCACTTACTAATATCCATTTTTGAAACAAGCAAACATTAGGTATCTAGCTCTCATGGTTTTGCAATAGTACTTTAGAGTTAATTATACTTTCCAGATATATGAAGGATAAAATAATTTAGATAGGAAACAAACATATTTTAATTTTATTGATTCTTTGATTAAAATTATACCTTTTTGTAAACTACCTTAAGGTAGGTATTTAATAGCCCTAATTTCTGTTTTTGTAACAAGACTTGCATTAAAGTTTTTAATGTTTATTCAGTTAGCATCATATTTTATTAGTTAGGTTATTTTATCATTATCTTAAATTTCTTATATGTGCTTAAAAATTAATGTTTAAAATATAGCTGTTGATCCTCCACAATATTGCAAACAATATTACAGTTATAGTCCTGACCAACTTTGTGTTCAATTCATTCCTTTAATAAAATCTTGGAATCATTTTAATTTTTTAATATGACTATCATCTCAACTTTACTATGTAATCATTTTGAATTTTCATAGTAGACCTGAACAGTGTATATAAATATTTGATATTGTATAATGTTAACTAGAATATTGACTTCTACAATTTAAACAAAATAAGTATTATTCAAAACCAGCAAATCTTTAAAAACATGCAGCAAAGCAAGGAAGGCATAATACTACTTTTAGAAACACTATATTGACATTATGTTACCATGTAAAGGTTTGCTAATGAAAAGAGGCAAACAACTTGTACCCAAGGATCAGAGGAAAATTAAATAAATGTAAACAAAATTAACCCAGCATTTTACTTAGATTGTGATTTTGTTCTTACAAAGTAACATGCTTTCAAAAGTGGATCCTTATATGCCACATGCATGAAATTCTTATTTTAAATAAGGTACAAATATATTTGCCAATCTCCTCAAGGAGTTAGTGCTTGGAAAATGCAAGAAAATGTAGAGGTTAAGTGGTATATGAATGATTTAAAGAGACAGCAAGCTTAGTGTAATAAAGAAAAATATTAGCAGTATAATTAGCTATTTCTGTACACAATACTTATATAAGTTGACTTTACACTACATTAAATGCCACTTTGAAACTTATACATTTTAGGATTTTATCATATATAATCACTAATAAAGATTGTCTCTTTAAATTTTTATTCAGTATTCTAATCCCCATGCAGAATTATACAAGCTGGCTCATCAAATGACTTGAAAGTCAAATAACATGGTTTGGAGCAACATATCAAAAATTTTACCTACTACGCATTTTCCAAAAACATACAGATAAGGGATAAAACACAACTTTAGTTTCTATCAGGCAGACAAGGCCTTTACCTGAACCCTAGGAACAAAAGGCGGTGTTCTTCTACTAAGGCTTTGGCTCTGGTAAGCAAAATTAAAGAAAAAAGCAATAAAACAAAACCAAAAAGGACAACACGCTGGAACTAAAAGACCAAAAGTAAAAATAAACACATAGAACTATCCCTTAAATACAATATTTCCTTAAGACAATACTTACTTAAATTAAATAATTCATTATAAGGAAAAAATTAATATTGCCAAATGCTAAAATACATAAAAACTATACAAAATATTAAACTCTTTTATCAGATTTTAATGTAGTTAACAGAACAGTAATTAAAAATTAATGTAAAATAATAAATTCGGTTTGTATATTCTGAAAGAATAAGAAATTTCAGATTTTACCCTTAAATACTGTTATCCATGGAGGCCACTGGTTCCAGGACCCCCACAAAAACCAAAATCCATGCATGTTCAAGTCTTTTATCTAAAATGGTGTCAAACTGACATATAATGAACACACATTCTCCCTCATGCTTTTAATCTTCTCTAGATGACTGACAATATCTAACAAGATAAATACTGTATAAAGGATGGTTAGGCTGTGTAGTTTAGGGATAAGGAATGGCAAGGCCAAGAACATCTATGTTTAGTACAGACAGTTGTTTTCCAAACACCTCTGATCCAAGCTTGGCTGAACCTATGGATAGGAAACCCACAGATATGAGAAAGCCAACTGTACATAATAAAGAATAGTACAAAAAAAGCTAGATGAGAAGGTATTGAACAATTATTAATGAAAAGCCATCTATGGAAGTAATTTGTGACTTCTCCAAAATGATGACCTAAGTTTAACCAAAGTAAAAAAAAAAACTCAGCTATGTAGGCTTTAGAATTTTTTTTAACAAATAAGCACATTAAGATAGAAGTGTGCTGGGATGTCCTGGATTCACTGAACACCATTTCCAGACATTTTTTTTTTACCACTTTAGATAATGCTGTTTACGGCTAAACATGCCCGTCAATGACAATAACTTACTATTTTTTATTTGTATAGTTTGTTATATTTCCCCAAGCCTTTGACGGGTTATCGCAAGATTTTAGCCTCATGATATTCCCAACAACTATGGGAAGGATCTCCATTTTCCCCAAGTCGAAGATAAGGAAACAAAGACATATATGGTCTCGAAACACTTCCCAACATTCAAAAGGCAAAATGATGAAAAGATAGGAAGCAGAGCCCAGTCCTGATTATATCACTCTACAGTATTTTCAAATTCTCTGAATAAAATCAAATTTCTTTTCTAACTTTTTTTACTTTGTTTTAAAAAAATACCACAATAATAAGAATTAGGGGGTACCAGCAACCAAATCAAGAACAAAATTAGAAACAAAGCTCTGGTTTGAGAATGGATTTCAAAGTGGATTTCCTCTCCCCCACCAAGATTCCTCCCATTCCTCCCATGTGTCTCCTGTCTCTAAATAGTCTCATAAATAGTTAAGTCTTCTGTCTGTCTTTCCACTGCTATAAGGAAACAGATAATGAGCGCTAGACAGACTGCTGTCAAATTAAACTATCACAGGACAGACACTATTTTAGATATACATCTAAAACAAAAAAGAAAGCATACTTCAAGACAGACTCTTACACAATTATGAGTCATCTTTCTCTCCAAGAAACAAGGAAGTTTCACATCTAAGCTATCTTCCTTTTTGTCTGGAGATGCTCAGGGGAAGAAAAGCTCAGATGTGGAGTGGTACTGATGTCTGACTAAATAACCCTGGGTAGGTAACTCTTTAGCAAATGGGAGAAATGGTGTATGAAATTCAGAGATTAGACATGCTGAAGAAAGTGATGAATAACACACTCTAGAAATAAATTCTATTTTTCTGCCCTCCCACCTGTTTTGTTTTAGACCACTCTGCCGTCTTGCTGTCCCTTGGCAACCACTAAGCTGTTTTCTATCTTTATGGACTCTAGAGTCTTCATACAAAAATGGCGAAATGATTAATATGTGCCTCACTGTAATTGGTAATTAGTTACTAAGTCAAATATTTTAAGCATAAATGATCAGATAATATTTGAAACAGCTCAGGCTTCACACAAATGAAGAATTTGAACTTGTAAACCCCAATCTATTTTGCATTTTAATATCACTTCCTACTATTCTCTATACTACTATCTTTAGGTCATGTCTTTCATGTAACATGTCTAGATTTGTTATGGCAATGAAGTATAAAAGTGTAAAGTTCAAAGAAAAAACTTTTGTTAGAATCATTTTAAAAGCTCTAGAGATTTTAAGGAGCTTATAAAAGACACGCACCTATTCTTGAGTTACTTATTCCATTTAAATGGGCATATAAAATGAATATTTACTTTAAAATTTCAGAAATAACATTCAGATGAAGTAAATCGGGGAAATTTTGCAACCATAAGTCAATCACAGACTATACAGTACAAAGTTAAAAGTAACTGTTAATAAAATCAGTTTTGTAACGAGTTCCTATAGAAAAAAGAATTCTTAACCTTTCCTTCAAAAAAAGTCAAAAGTCATATTTTATTGTAACAGCCTATCAAAAAAACTAGCCAAATCATGTAAATTAATCTAAAAAAAATAAAAACTGCAAGCTAATCTTCTAATACAGAAAAGGCTAACTACTAGGACCCAGTTTTGAAAATGTGTACTCAGAATAAGGGAGTGTTGTCCCTGAAAAGGCCAGCATACAGTCCAGGTTCCATAACCTGAGCTGAGACTGGTATCCTCAGCAAATACATCCATGCATTTTCATGGTTATGCCCCAGAATAAGCAAACACACAATTCAAGCACAAGACAGAAAATAAACTGGGTATAAAAATGTAAATAAATTTGTATTCTATGTATATTTTTTACTTCAAAAAATATCATTCCATGAACTGACGTGAGTATCTTATGCAGGTCAGTTCACATACTACACAAATTGCCTTTGTTTCAGGCATTAGCCATGATGATTTCGCAAGTGAGGTATAGCCCAAAAGAAATCCCACCAAAAGCAAAAATGTCCAAAGATAAAATGGAAAAACATGGGAAAGTATTATTGCCCTGTGACTTCCAAGAGGTTTGCCAAGGGGTGCTATGCTTGGACATATTTTTTTCAACCCCTACATCACTGTAGCAAACAAAACTATCTCCAGGCCAGTAGAGATAAGAGTTATATGTACAAAAAGAAATATACCCAGGACATATGCTTTCCTAGATGCAAAGAACGAGAATAAAATTAATCAGTCATGTGAGAATAAAATTAATCAGTCATGTGAGAATAAAATTATTCTCTTATTCATTTAAATTCCTAGTTAGTAGTACTAGTAGTACTTCAGGGCAATGACAACATATATTTCTTAAACATATGATTGAAGTTTAATTTGGTAAAAAAAATTGTAGAGAAATTGGGGGCTAGACATTAATAATCTTTAATTTTTACTTTGCCATCCATATTGTAATTTTATTCCTAGAAAGTTACCCTGAGAAACTAACTTTGCCCTAGCAAAACAGTATCTACAGATTTATTTCAGTCTTTTACAAATTTAATGTGTATGTGAATAGGCAGATTTTACTCTTTATTTTTACTCTTTATTTTCCATACTTTCTAGACTTCCTACAATAAACATGCACTATCTGTACAAACATTATGTTTTATATAGATGAGATGTGTATGTGTATATAATTTCAAAACATATGCTGTTAAACATTCACTAATACCTGACCAGAACATATACCTTCCAAGCCATACAAAAATGAGAAAATGGTATATATAGTAAATTATAATTTCATGGATTTTAAACCAGCATCATCTATAAATCTAAAGGTTATAGTTTTACATCATTATATGTATATTCAGAAGTAAAAATTTAATTTTATTTTGCCTCCAAATATTTAGCAGTCTTATCTGTATTAATTTTAAGCCATGGGGAAAAACAGTAGAATTTGAAATCTAAAATCCTGCCTCTGCTCCTCATTTTCACTCCTTGTCCAATGTGTATAGGACCCTGGAATTTGAGATAATAAAGTGGTACCTATTATGCAAATCTAATTTCATTCCCTCCACCAACTCAAGCCAACATGCACGCACAGAGGGCATATACCAGCATCAGCAAAACCCACAGCCCTGAACGGTATTTAAAGATAACTTATCTAAACAAAATTACAGTTGAAAGTAGCTAAACTTTATTAGTCTTTCCTAAGATGGTAAAAGAAAACACATAAATTTGCAACTATAGATGAAAATATATGTGCTGTTGATATATGTAGGAGAATAAATAAAAAGATGCTATTTATTGTAGAGAATGGAGAAAATACCATTATTCTCAACAAAAAGTTCACTCTATGAAAAAGGAAGAAAAAGAAAATAACAAAGGAAAGATTTATTTTAGTGAGACATTCACAATCTCATAGCATTGCATCATCTTTCTTGCATAACATTTCTGTTACTGTCAAATTTGTGTTTAAAATAGTTCAGAGAAGACATCGAATAACTTCTTAAATAAATTCCAATATCTTAATTTTGCTTAAACTTCCTACATCTCCTTTTAATTAATGAAAATACTTCAGAAAAATCAAACATAGATCCTCCTAAAAATGAAAAGAGGTATTTCTTAACTGATTTAACAGAAATCTGTTTCTATTGGTCTTAAAATAGGAGCCCAGATAGATTATTTTAACTGTAACATTTTTCTACAAAGATTCAATGTCTGGATTCTGGAAACCTAAATAGTTCTTTAATGATCAAGAAATTTCAAGTTTTATAATCATCACCACTGCTGGCAATTAAAATAACTGAATAAATTTAAATACATTAATATATTAAAATTCTGTAATAAGGAAATTAAACTGAAAAATTGAATTAAAATGAGGACCTACATCTGCAAAGTTCTTCTAATATGGTCATAATATAATATGAATAATTAAAGTTTTAGCTGCTATTTTAAAATATTCAAATCAGGGGTCACCTAACCTGAAATTGCCTAGTATATTCAGGAACCTACATCTTCTCGTTGTTTTGTCTGTTGACAAAAGCATCTCCAGAATCTTTATATTTCAGAGCAATAGTCAAAGTACAATATTACTACGAAATTCATCTCAAATTTCCTTAAGGTTGAAAAGCACAGAATAATATATACATATTTACTTTTATTTTATATACAATCTTTATATACTGCAACATTTGTATTCTCTTCAGAATCAATGACCTTCGATCCCCAGTACCAAAATAAATAAATAAATAAATGACAATTCATAATCATTTTAAATGTAGATCAAAAGCCATGACCTTAAATTTTGGAAAAATTATTTAGGCAAAAAAGGGTCTAGGTATCCTCACAAAATCTGAATCTCATCAAATTCTAGAAAACCTAACTCTAATAAAGAAAGCACTATATGATAAATAATAAAAATTGAATTTCAATTAATTAAAAGTATTACGAGTAAAAGAGTTAATGGTTAAAAGCACAGTTATAGTCTAGGAAGAATTTGCTTTATAAAAACTAGTACCATATTTTAAAAAACATGATTTAACATTCCAAAGAGAAATTAGTTTAGTGATTACATACTGAAAGCTGTCCGGATAAGAACTGTGGAACATCCCTCAGCATGCCAGGACTCATGGGAGAGGTAACAGAAATAGAAGGACGATCCATTTTCTGAGATTCAAATGAGCTAGAACCTGAAATGATAATTATACATAAAGAACAATAGAAATGGCTCTTTACAACTATTTAAGAACCCTTAGCATACATCTTTCAAATGTCTATAACAGGCCATTCTACAGGCCATTTTATTAGGCACAGTGATACCCATCAAGGTTCTGCTGTTGTTTTCTAAAGCACCAGTGAAGTTTGGGGCTGTCTGAAGACCAGTCCATAGCACAGGATCATTTTTGTGCCAACTGTACTAGAGACAGGCCTTTACCTCAGGCCTGAGTCACTTCATCTTTCAATGAACTCCATACTCATATGTTACAATAACATAGTAAGAAAATTTTTAAAATAGAAATAAAAGGATAACCAAAATAGAACTCAAGAGAGCACCATAAAGTCTAAATTTTAAATGCTAAGAACATAGGTACTAAAGTCTCTGAAACTATTGAATGTTTCCAGGAAGTGATTTTTTTAAAACCATATGTTGAAGAATATAAATTAGACTTACAGAAAGGAAAAAGGAGCTATGAAAAAAGATACTGAATAGCACAAGGAGCAGAACTTTTACCCAAAAAGTATGAGTTTACTTCTATGAAAGGAAAAAACAAGTTAGAAAGTGAGTAGAATAGAGCTAATAGGACACAGGTGGCATTGTGTGGTTCAAATTTTGGACAATGCATTTGGCACTAGTGAAGTACCCACACGAAGCTTTCATGTGTAAGAGAAGAACACTGTGCTTTGAGAAAGACAGCTTTATCACCTATTTAAAGAGTAGACTGGAAAGAAGAAACAGAAAACAGTTAAAAGCGAGAAGAATTCAATCAGATAGTAATAGTAAAAGTTGTGGAAAAGTAATGAAAAGAAGGAATTAGAGGGTAATGTGAAATTAAAAAATGAAGACCGCAGGTCTGGGATGGATGTAGCTCAGTGGGAGAGTGCTTGCCTAGCACGCCTGAGGCTGTGGGTTGGATCCCCAGCACCACACACACACACACACACACACACACACACACACACAAAGCACTCAGAAGCTAATTAGATATGAAAGATAAAAGAAAGACAATGGAAAGCATTAAGATTTCAAGTCTAGTAATTAGATGTGGGGTCAAGAAAGTCTTATGTTTCTGTTGTCTCTGGAAAAGGAAGTGTTGATGTTTCGTGGGATTTGGAACACTGCGTTAGGGAATGAGTAGAGAACTTAGTTTGGAAACAGTGACCTTTTAACACTTCTGAGATACTCAAGGGAAGTGTAAAGCAGGTAACTAGAGATACAGATGGAATGAAATGTCAGAGTAGAGACTAGTGTGAGAAATTATCCGATAGTTCTGTACACCTAACTGGAGATACAGGTGATAAAATTCACCTCTACAGATAGTACTGTATAAAAGTAAGGGGAAACTACAAAGCTTGGGTTCAGAAGTGATGGTAATACCCTTCATATTAATTAGAAGCAGAATGATGCCTTCAGTAGTAAGAAATAAGATAGTCTCTTAATATAAAGCTGCAAGTAAGCTAGGTTTCGTGGTGCACGTCTGTAAACCCAGCACCTTGGAGGCCGAGGCAGGAGAATTGCTGTGAGTTCAAGGCGAGCCTGGGCTGCATAGTGAGTTTAAGGCCACCCTGAACTACACAGCGAGATCCTGTCTTGAAAAGAAAAACAAAAACTGCAAGTAGCAGGAATATGCTTAACAAAATGTATTCTCTGAATATCCAGGGATGAAGTGACAATGATGGACTCTTTAGAATACAGCTTTTGGGATCATACAGCTGGCTGTTAAAGCTGTAAGAAGAAAATGTACTGAGGAACTGGGAACACAGATTCAGAGATTAAAGAATTAACAAAGGACCCTTGTCTTCTCAGGAACAATTTTAGAATTGTAGCTCATAGACTTTAAATAGCTAAATATGATGAAGGGCTCTGTAATGCTCCCAATGGCAGGGAGATATATTAATACAAGTGAGTGAAATTTTTACCTGCCCCAGTTTGTTATAAGAATTGTGATAATGTAAGTGCAGCATCAAGCACAGAGGCAAATACTAAATAAAATGGGAGAAATGAGGGTAATAGTAACATTGCATAGTAACAATAGCAATTATTATGTTATGGTTCTATGTGATCATGGACATAGTTTTGGATAAAATTATTTAGCACTTAGCCAAAGGTACTAAATCAAGTAGGTCATATGACTGTATTTTAAAGTACAGAGCCATGGCAGTCCAAAAGGACTTTACCTACATGGTAGAAACTTGAAAGACATTTATACTTACAAATGTAAATATGAAAGCACAAAACCTATTTGCCAGGGGCAGTGCTGGGATTGAACCCAGTGATTCAAATAAAGCAAGCAATCTGCCACTGGGCTGCATCCTC